ACATTGCTCGAGCATGGCAATGCCACAGTCTCTCCTGTCGGAGGTTACCTCAGGTCCGGCAGGTTCCTGTTTCCCATTAGCTTCAGTAGCGGAGTTGGATGATCGTGTCACCGCCGCGCTTGATCTCGTAGCCTAGCCGACTTGGCCCTCTTCCCGGAGCATGGGTTTCTTTTACGGCTTCATCAAGTCTCCCTGGATGGAAGGATGTGTCGTCAGCAAAGTCGTTCGCCACCACCCTGCAGACGGATCCCAGCCTCCAAACGCTCTTAGAGACCTCTGTGTTTGTGTCAAATTCTGGCAACCGGCCACAACCTTGGTGCTCTTCTCTATTCTCTTTTGGCCGACCGAAAGCCTTGGTTTCCAGCATTGCAAGCTTAGATTCAGAAAGCACCGGTCAGCTGATGATCGGTGCGGTCACTCGCTCGCCGACCTCTGTGATCTCTGACGGGAACCTGGCCATGAAGTCTGAGATCTCACTGGCCAATGGTGTTTCTTTAAATTGCAACGTTCGTGTGGAGAGGGGAAACCTATCATCTTTGACGACGTGGCTCTCTCTAAGCCATAGGCTTTAGCAGATTGGACATCGGACCAAGGCCCTGGGCGAGCTGCTTTTGGCCATGCGGTCTCTTCAGGACCTTTATCATCTGGGCCGCTGATGGGCCTTCTCCCTGAGCACACTTTCCACCCCTCAACCCATTTTAAACACCATCCCTCACCTTCTCAGCCCCAACCCACCTTTTTTGTGGCCCAATCCCTCATTGGGCTTCTTCAACCCAACCTATTCCCTCCGTAAGCCACAAACCACCCAACCTTTTAATTCCCAACACCGGCCCGCCCATCATTAAACCAACAGGCCCCATGGGTAACTAACAGCGTACAGGCCTTTTGTCTCCGACGAACACCTCCACTACAGCACCGCTGGCGACTGTCTCCAACACCATGTCGTCGGCTGATGGCCCCAACTCCGGCGCCGGCAGCAACGACCCTCAGCTCTCTAGTGGGCTTCTTTCGAAAACTGGAATTCTTGGGCTTGGGCCTTCTCCTCAATCGGGTCCCATCTTTCAGGTTCTCAGCACCTCATTTCTAGCCACCGGACCTCTTTCACCGGTTCGCCATCGACGGGCATCTCTTCGGGTCTCCCCACAGCCCCCTAGATCCACCTCGACTCCTTCTTCGGCCCATGCCGGCCCTGATCCTTTCGGGATGCAGTCACCGACAAATACGATGGTAAATTGGGACGTTGGAGATTTTCGCTCGAAAAATTTTGGGCTACTCACCGTGGGACTGTCTCGCGCTTCGAGAAGGGCAGATTCAAGGTAAGTCTTCGTGAGCTTGATGTTTCTTCTCTTGTCGGGTTGTACGACAATGCCTTGATTTTTAAGTTCTCTTATATTGTCTCCAACCTCCGAGATTTTGAGTAGGGAATAGAAAAATTAGGGTATAAAGGTAATTTCATGCCTAAGTACTTTAATTTCAATCACTACCTAGTCATTTTCGAGCTTAGGTATGACTACAATGAGGTGTGGCTCAAGACTTTCGTGAACGCATGTGGATGCACTGCTCGGGTGTTCAAGTACACCTCTGACTTCTCCCCATCGATTGAGGCACCTATATCCTCTGTTTGGTGTCGCCTTCCAATCCTTCTTCCACACCTTTACGACTCTACCATTATGTTCTCGATTGCCAGTTGTATAGACAATCCGATCGTGGTTGAAGCCGCCACGACCAACCGCACGAGGATATCTGTCGCACAGGTGTGCGTCGAGATAGACTTCCGGGGCGGGATTGTCAATGAGATCGAGCTCGACCAGATTTGGAAGACCACCATTCAGAAGGATAACTACGAGAGGGTCCTGCCTTACTGTTCCCTTTGTGATCACATGGGTCACGTTGGGGTAGATTGGTACCCAGTGGAAACAAGCCCTAGTCGTAACTTACGCAACGCGTGCTGTACGACTAGATCGGGCCCCTTTGCTACGCCGGGGGACTCCAAGGGATAAGGTAAGGCCCTTGCCTGCGCGCCTGAGTCTCTAAAGGGACATAAGGAAAAGAGAAAGAAAGTTGTTGAGACTGCCACTCAGGCTGGGAGCGCTGCACAGCCTAACCGACCCAAGGAGGTGGCTATGGACGGGCCAAAGGCAAAGTCCACAGGTTTTTCCCATCCCCAATCTCTTGAAACGGCCTACATGGCCAAGGACTCGTATTTCCTTATCCTTTATTCTGAGATGAATGACAAGCCCTCATCTTCCTCATGTTCTTTAGGAGACATATCTAGTCTCTCCCTCGAGGACGACAACCTCTCGGATGATGAGACGGACATGCCTGACATTTTAGTGGGTGACAAGGTCACACCCCTCCACGACGACAACTCCCGTGATGTAGCTTCATCTCGCGAACACGTGACATCTAAGCAGAGATCTCAGGTCTCGAGGCCCACTTCCGTCTATATTCCCTCAGAAGGAGCTAAGTTGGCCCCTGCTATTTCCACCGAGAGTGTGCACTTGGTTGTGCGCACAGCCAGTGACTCTTTTGTGCCCGCGATCGGGGACGCTAATGGGCTGCCCCTTGGCTTTTTTCCCCCTTTCTACAAGAGATGGGCTCCACACTGGTCCGGGCTCTGCACGTCGCCTGACCAGAGGTTTGACAACCTGTGGACACTATATTGGAGCAAGTGGACGAGATGGAGGGTCCGCAATCAACGAGCTTTAATGGTAATCTCTCTCGTACCAGATCCAGGACCGCAACGCTCAGCTTGCCGGACGTTACCTCACACAAGTGGGCCGATTCAGCCTGGCCACAGGTGGACCTAGTTTGGTGGAACCTCCGAATGCTGATATGCCGGTCACATCCCTAACATGGAACACTTGGGGCATGGCGAATAGGGTCACCCTACCTTTTATTTACTCCCTTGTGCGTGTTCATAGGCTCGACTTTGTCGCTTTTCTCGAGCCCATGACCCGCACACCTTCTTTTTACTTCTACTCACGTCGCCTCGATTTTCACTCAAACGTGGGAAACATATCTAATAACATCTAGTTTTTTCACTCGCGTGACTACACTTATCAGGTTCATTTGTGATACCATGCAAGTTTTGCATCTCGAGCTTTCAACTGCCCATCTCCCTAAGCCCATCTTCCACATTCTGGTCTATGAGAGTTTTGCGAGGGTCGGGTGCTACACTCTGTGGGACACCATGCGTGAGATTGTTGAGAGTATGGAGGGCTTACCGTGGATGGTAAGCAGTGATTTTAACATCTTTTTGCATACCGATGCGTTGGTGGCCAGTCAGATCGTTCAACGGAGATCTGGGATTTCTCTCAGGTGGAGGCGGACTGTGAGTTAATTGATGTTGGCTGAGGTTCCCCTTTCACTTAGGAGGGGTGGATTAAAGGAGAGGCTCGATCATGCCTTAGTCTCTCTGGCATGGGCACAGGTGTTTGGCATTATGACCGCCACACACCGTCCTTGAATTGAGTCTGACCATGTTCCCATTCTCATCCGACATTAATTATCGAGCACCCCCCCCCCCTCCCCAATCGTTATTTTTTCCGATTCCAAAACATGTGGATTCTCCACCATACATTCCATGACCCTGTTAGGGAATTCTGGCTACAACCCACTAGGCTCTCGGAATTCGCAACCTAGAGCCCAAGCTCGAGAGACTGAGGCGTAGGTTGACGCAGTGGTACTAGGAT